TTCCATAATTTATACAAAGTTAAGTTTAAGTCTAGAAATAACTTTGAATTCCCAAAGTTCAATTCTGTCCAACTCTCTGATTTAGCAAAAATTTGGGCAGCACTCCCTTTAGAAAAGGAGACTTTCCAGATTTTTACTAAGCCATACATAAAATTCAGACAAGCTGAACTTTAAAAACTCAAAATATGACTAGCTTATTGGTTTTGACGAAATACGCCTTACACGGCGCACCACACCATAAACCATGCCCAAATAGCCAAACACAGGCTTTCTGGAAAAAGTAGAAACCACATGACTGATAATACAAAATCCAGGAATAATTAAAATATAACATTATTTTAGCTCACCGGCGGAAGGGAAGAGCGTGGTAGAGCACGCCGCCGCTCTCGTGATGGATAGGACTTTCTCTTATTCTATTTAAGAAAGTAATTATATATACAATTACAATCAATTCAATACGTACATTCGTGGAATCTATTTCGGCAGCGCTCCCGTAGAGAAAGTAGCTTACCAAGATTTATACGAAGCCAAGAATAAGAAATGATCCCAGAAGATGTGGCAATTGACCTAGGTAAAATAAACTTAGCTTAGAAAATGTAGGAATTGAAACTAACTCCTATGGCTCTAGCACATGGCGAGCTTCTAAATAGCTTAGAAAATGTAGGAATTGAAACTAACTCCTATGGCTCTAGCACATGGCGAGCTTCTAAATCAACTACCTATCAAACTGAAACTCAGATTAAGTAGTAGTCTCACTCAATTACATCAAAGGCCAAACCACAAAGGTAAGTACTCTCACCAGCCCAAAGTTAATCTTGTCAAACAATAGTTCGTAGCCTTTCAATGATTTATCCCTTTATACCCAGCTTACATAAGGCATAAAGCTAGACCACCTAAACTTATGGAACATGTCTAGCTCAACCATTTAAATATACACAAACACAAGGCACTACAACTTCTCTCTTCCTTGGGCGCATGACTAGGTTAACCAGCCTAGTCGCCCTGAATTGTTTAAGTATCCAAGTTATATATAATTATCTGCAGTTAATCTTTTAAGGTAGCATATGACTAAACCGATCATCTTAGCGCGAGGTTCAGCCTGCCCCTTCTTACCGCAAGTTTACTCTTAGTTGATACTCTCTTCAGTTTGTGATAAGCTATAGTCAGACCACCCAAACTTATGGGACAATGTCTGGCTAGCCTATTCATAGATAAAGTAGTAGTAAAATATAACCAAGTTATAACCCTTAGGTTCCAGCATCTGCATGGCATTGGACCAAGACCACCCAAACTTATGAAACATGTCTGGTTCTCCAAGCAACTCAAAAATAAACATAGCACTGGGCCCCCTCAAACTTATTAAGACTTGCCCAGCCTTTGATTGACCCAGTCAGACACAAGCAATACTGCCTTCCTCCCATCCTTCCCCCAGATCGAATCCCACAATCTGCTTTCAGTCAGACAATAAAATTGAAACTGACATGAGACATGCATTCTTTTACTTAAGTATGAATCATGTCCTGAAAGTCAAAGTAGTGATGCATACAATACACTCAGTCAAACATAGCAAGAAGTATGAATATGGGTTATAAATGGGTTTATAAAAGGAAAGCAAATGATTACCTCTCAGTTCCCTGCCTCCATAATTCCTCCCGAGTTCCGGCAGAGCTCCCGCAATCGGTGGGCTGACTCCCCACAAAGTCTTGCTGCGGTCCTACGGGTTGCAATCCCGCCTGCCGCCTTCCTCTCAGAATAGGACTAGACTTAGAGTAAGAAGGGCAGAAGGAGGAGTTTTAGACTCTTGAGATACAGGAGAGGGACATACTCGACTTGCAAGAGAGGGCCTTCATGCCATTAATCGCCTGAGGGCCCCACAATGATGGCCAAAAAGCACAACAGCTTGGTCAATCCAACGCCAAACTGCTAACTGTTGACCTGGTCCGAAATTAAGACTACCTGTTCACAGCCCAATCGTTTCCCTTGTGCTTTACACGAAGCGCGAGGAGGCCGTAGCCAGTCTTAGCTTGAATACTGCGTGCGTGCCACACGTGTGCAGCAACAGTGCAGTGTACCAATACGCAGTACCAAACACAAGTATCAAAGTGCCACACCTGGCAAAAGTCCACGTGATAACCACATCAATGGTTGTAGTGCACAGCGCAACAAAGCTCAGTTCATACGGTTGAGATACAACGGAAGCATGGCGAATATACAATAGCTGTGTTGGTTAACATCAAACAACTACGAAGTTCATCAGCAGCAACATTCGACTCAATTAGTTGTGGGTGACGACAAAGCTACATGCTTTCACTCCTATTAGCAATCACAAACAACACTTGCACAGTCGGACTATTACTCGAAGTCCACAAGTTGAGTCCCAGAAGCACGAACTGAACTTCGAGGGCATATGCCTAACCGCGAGCATTCACCCACACGCTCAGATTCTGAAGACAAAGCTTCATTAAAGTATAGTTTGGCGCAAGGTATCATGGTGTAGGGTTGTGCACACGGCCTCAGCCAAGCAGGCGTTCCTTCTCTTGCGTGCTGCACCTACCGGTGCTCTTGTTGCTCCTCACCTGGCTGCAACTGCTCTTGCCCGTCCCTCTCTCTCGAAGCACCTGACTCATGCTACAACCTGGTACACGTCCCCCCCCTTGTAGGATCTGCAAACACAGTCTCGAGTACTTCCTAAGTGTAGATGCAGGCGCGACGAGTCGCCATGAAACGAAAGAGATTGAACTACGCCCCTTCTACCGGTAAAACGGGCAGATTGGGAATGAAATTTTCCGCCAATATATCAACAGATACGCTCGACATCAACTTTCCCGCCGCTGTTCCCGTACTCGAGAAGAACGACTTCTCGACTCGGATCCGGAAATACATATAACAGGTAAGTATTCCCCTTCTCATGTACCTCTTTTCGGGATCACAAATCGATCCGAGCACACACCGAGTTCGCTCACAAGGGCGATGGCTACGGTCCCACAGGTAGGCAAACACGGTCGTCTGAACCTTTCCTTTCGAAACAAGTTTCTCACACCGATTTCGCCGAGCGCTGCCTCGATCTTGCCGCACTCAATCGCAATGTATCTTCCCTCGAGCGTTGCTCCTTTCAAACCAGGGGCGACAACGCAGTATGCCATGGGCAGCAATCAAGGCAGCAACAACGACGATCGCCCCGTCAAACCAGAATGGATCATCTCCGAGAAGAAAGCCTAGGTGTGTATCCTTCCCTCTCATCCCCGCTTACGCACCGCGCAGCCTCTAAACGCCATGCCACCTACCCCCAATTCTGACTCCATCAATCGTTTCGCAAGGTTCCAGAACCCCAAAATCGAGTCTTGGCTCACCCGATTTCGTTGAGAATCGTGCGAGCTACTCTCTTTTCCTCCCTTCCATACCCGCTTGTTCACTCATCTCCGCGCGGCTCTTTTCCTTACTAACTCTAAATAGACTTCACTAACTAAAACTCTGACCTCACCAACCACTTCGCCCGGGTCAAAAATCCTAGTTCTACCCTTTCGTTCGATCGATTTGACTAAGGAACGGCCGAGTTATCTACTTCCAACCGAGCTCCGCAAACTCTTCGCCATTTTCAACATCGAATGTACCCTCGCGCGAAGCACGTCCTGTTTTTTTCTCTCCTCCTTCTCCGTTGCCGCTTACCACCCCGTCCTTTTGTAGTCTATCTCCTTCCTTCTCCGCTTGGTTCTGGTAGGAGCCCGATTGATCGTTAGCTTGAATCCCAGCGACGCTACGACAACAGGCCAACCGAGTACTTGGTCCGTTTTGCATATTGCACACACCCAGCTGACCGTTGGTTGACCCGTGCGGAAAACTTCAAGCAACAACTCATGACGTTCTCGCATGCCACGAACACAAGATGCAAGGCAAGCCGGTCTCTTCGGCTCCACGCCACACCCGCGTCTAGGTTCCACCTTCAGATCGTCAGCTTCGCCCTCGCCCCGACTTGACTTCATGAGGAGGGGAGGGTGTTACATGCTGCACCTGCACACGAGGGCCATTTTTCAGGCCCTGCGTCCCTCAGGCTGAAAGCCGAAAAACCAGGGCCTACAGGTCCCGTGTCTGCTCAACTCGAAAGCTAGAAAAACAGGGGCCTACAGACCCTGTGTCGTTTCAGACTAAAAATGGCAGTAGCCTTTTTAGCCTGAAACGAAGGGCCATTTTCGGTCTTTCATCAGACCGGCCTGCCCTGAAACTCAGACACCAAACCAGGGTCTTAGGAACAGGCTATTTTTGGCTCGTTCCCACGACAACTGCAGCGCCAGGCCCTGGCTTAGTTTGGCATTGGCAAGAGCAGCCTCCTGAACTGCCCCCCCTGCAACTGCAGGTAGTCGGAGGCAGCCAGGAGGCAGGCCGAGGTAGTACATAGGGACTTCCCATGCACTTCACGGGCAGGCAGGAGGCAGTCAGTAGTCTTCAGGATTCGGCAGCAACACTCTGGAGGAGCGCTGCAGGAGTAGTTGTAGCGTTAACAGTAGTCTTCAGCGTTGGGCGCTCGTAGCGTTAGTTGTAGTCTTCAGTGTTGGGTGCCATAGCTAGAGTAGTACTAGAGAGAGAGAGAGTTCCTTTTCTTCCTCTTCTCAGTCCACCATCTCCTTCTCAGTCCACCATCTCCTTCTCACCCCTCTTCTCGGTCCACCATCTCCTTCTCACCCTCTCGCTATATGACTTCACTGCATCAGCAGACTACGAGAGAGAGAGAGAGAGAGAGAGAGTACTAAACTTGCAAAACTCGGGATTTTTTATTTTTCTCGAATTTGTTTTTTGCAAAATTCAAACTTTTCTTTTTGATTAGTGGCTCCTTATCTGGGCGTTATCTGGGCGATTATCCTACCCACCCCTCCCCACCTATGTTGTTGCCACCTCTGGTCTTACCTTCTCTATCTGTCTCCGGGTACCCCCTGCAGCGACATTGGTGAGTTGCCATGTCAGCAGGCCATGTTAGCGGACCACGTCTGCGGACCACGTCAGCAGGACACGTCAGCAGGCCCCCGGCCTGGTCTATGTTTTTGCGTTCACAAACAGCCGTCATGGACCAGAAGTCCGGGGAAACAGACGAGGCCTATCAGGCCCGGATGCTGGCCTGGAGTACCCAAACCAAGAGACGGGCGGATGACGTAGCAACCGCAGCGAAGAAGACGGCAGAGGACGCCGAGAAGGCACGTCTGCTGGCAATTGAACAGCAGCGCCAGCACGACAAGGCAACAGCAAAGGCTGCCGATGAAGAACGAGTTCAACGTCGTAAGATGATATTTAGCGGAGAGCAAGTTTTGCTCACAATGGCAGCGGATTGGCGGGCCGAGGBCGAGAATGGCAAGATGGAAGATAGCGAAAACAAGATCGCTCTACTCCTCTCCCATCTCACGGACATCCTGGCAACATGCATTACACAGCCGGAGGACATCCACAACCTCGACGACGCGCTGACTCAAGTCCACAGCTGCCTCCGGCAGCTGGAGCAGCGACCTGTCGCCGCCCCCGATGCCAGCTCTTCCAACACCTCCAATCGCCTCGAAGCATTGGAGATTGATGTCTGCTCCCTCAAGGACGGCGTGCAGTTACAGGAAACCACAACGCAACAGTTGGAGCAGCGGATTTGTACTGCCGCCAACCACTCGAGCTCGGAACCGCGCGAGACAACTCCAAAGTTCGACGGGCGGGAGATCTTCTGCGACTCGACGAAGACAGATCCGATTCCATGGTTCCGCAAGTTCGAGCTCACGCTGCAGCTACACTACGTCAAAGAACACAAGCACCACGCATACTTATACTCCCGGTCGGGGGGTGCGTGCCAAGCACGGTTGGACAATCTCTTGTCCAAGTACGGAGTGGTAGCTGCCGACTTGCATACCAAGATCAGTTGAGATGATTTAAAGGTGGCGTGGCATAAACGGTTCCAAGTAGAGCCGCCGGAGATCAACGCAATGGACAAGCTAATGGTCTTCGAGCAAGGCACGTTGCCGAGTGTCGATTGGATTGCCGAATACCAACGCTTGACATCCGTCCTAGACATCCAAATGAGCTTCAAAGCCATCCGCCACTATTTTATCTCAAGGTCGTGTCCGACAATGAGCAATGCCTTGACTCACGTCGAGGACACCCTGACGACAACGGCGGAACTCTTTGACCAGGCCGCACAGATTATTATCACGAACAAGGAGGCTAAGAAATTGCGTTCGTCTACGGCAGGCCCGAGCAGAGATCAGCATCGACCGAAGGTGGCCGTGGTCATGGCGACAACACTGTTTGACCAAACTAGCAAGGTCGTGTCTGCCGATGAAGGGGACAGACTCGCAGCCGCCCGGGAAGGTGGCCGCCCCGGCAAAAGCCGAGGACGCGGCAAGGCGAAGACAAACACCGCATCTAGCCCTGGGTCCGGCGCAGCAACTCCAGCCCCATGGTCCCAATACGGTCTCTCCGAGCAATCATTCAAAGCACGCACGAGATTTCACTATTGCCTATGTTGCAACATCGATCTCCATGAGACAGTGGCCTGCCAGTCAAAAGGCAAGGGCAAATCGGGAAACTGAGCACCGCCGGGAGTGACTCGAGGACACTCTCGACGCCTTTGGAACCGGTCGATTCGCGAGTGACCGCCCTTCGTTCCGAGGCACATGCGGAAGTCGATAGTCCTCCTCTTCTACTTTCTTTTGAGGACTATGCTGCCCGGCTCGTTCCTACGGTGGGTACTCAAGCTCAAGGACAAGACATGTGTGCAGTATCTTCTCCGTCCGGCAGCGGCGACTTATCGTCTTCAAATGGTTCTTCCCGGGATTCAGCACGCGAGTTCAACATAGAGGTATTGGACCCGCTCACGTCCGGGGATTTCGCATGGCTTCCTCTCCCAACCACGGGCCACTTGCCGGGACTGCAATGGGCAGCACTATGCGCTCATCTTCACATGTACTTATCCTTCTATGCACCACTAACTTCGCCGACGGATGACGAAGTCGCGGTGGGGGACACCCTTGCGTATGTTACCAAGGTGTCCTGCGAGTTTCTCAATCAGTGGTACGACGACAACAACGCACAACTCCTCTATATCCGTATCTAAGTTGGGCAAGCGTCCTACAGCGCTTTGCTGGATAGCGGCGCGTCTCGCAATTTTATGAGCCAAGCCTTTATGCAAAGGGTTGGCCTCGGTGCACTAGTTCGAAGGAAGGCAAACCCGACGGCGATCAAGTTGGCGGACAGAAGGACGCAACAACTTATCGGCCGCTACATCGAGGTCGTACCGGTGTATTTCGCACCTCATGCATGCGAACCGGTGACATTTGACATTTTGGACATGGACTTCGACATTATTTTGGGAATGCCTTGGCTTGCAAGTGCGGATCACACGGTCAACTTCCACCGGCAGACTCTTACCGTTCGCGACGCCTTCGGCGCCGAAGTGGCGTGTACTATTCCTCTTCCGCACCCTTCGATTCGGTGCCATTCCGGGCCACTTGTGCTTACGAGCAGCCCGACGAAATCGGCCTATGTTTCCTATGGACTGTCGCAATAGCCGACTCTTCACCCACGGACTTGTCTTCAGACCCCCGTGTGGTGCGGTTGCTTGACGAGTTCACCGACATCTTCGAGTCACCTACCGGTGCGGTGCCGGATCGGCCGATCTCTCACGAGATCATTCTTGAGGCCGGTGCCATGCCGCCGAAAGGTTGCATTTATCGCATGAGCGAGGAGGAGCTTACGGTCCTCCGCGCACAACTCGATGATTTGTTGGACAAGGGATGGATCCGCCCTAGTAGCTCTCCATACGAAGCGCCAGTTCTCTTCGTACGGAAGAAGAACAAAGATCTACGATTGTGCATCGACTACCGCAAGCTCTACGCACAAACCGTCAAGAATGCGGGACCCCTTCCTCGCATCGACGATCTTCTTGAGCAATTGGGTGGCGTGAAGTATTTTTGCAAGTTGGATTTGAAGTCGGCATATCATCAAATCTCGATCCGACCGAACGATCGTTACAAATTCGCATTCAAGACGCGGTATGGGCATTTTGAGTGGGTGGTCATGCCTTTTGGCCTCACCAATGCCCCGACGACCTTTCAAGCGGCAATGACCAATGAGTTTCGTGCAATGCTGGACCGGTTCGTGCTGGTCTACTTAGATGATATTCTCGTCTATAGTCGGTCATTGGAGGATCATCTTGAGCACCTTCGACGAGTGTTGGAGACGCTCCGCCTCGCCAAGTACAAGGCCAACCACGACAAGTGCGAATTTGTCCGGCAAGAGCTGGAATACTTGGGCCATTTTGTCACACCGGAGGGCATCAGTCCGCTATCGGACAAGATTCAAGCCATCCAAGAGTGGTCGGAGCCACGAAACGTCACGGATGTCCGTTCGTTCCTTGGTCTCGCCGGCTACTACCAACGTTTTATCAAGGGCTACTCGAAGATCACGGCCCACTTGACCAAGCTTCAATGCGAGGATCGACCATTTGACTTCGGAGAGGAGGCGAGGGAATCATTTTTGGCTCTCAAAGCCGCGCTATTATCTGCGGAGGTCTTGCGCATATACGACCCGCTTTTGCCTAAGCGCGTCACTACGGATGTGTCCGACTATGACATTGGTGTCGTCCTCGAGCAACACGATGGCGTGGACTGGCACTCGGTCGAGTATTTCAGCAAGAAAATGCCCGTCGTACACTCCATTGACGATGCACGCAAGAAGGAGCTCCTCGCCTTCGTCCACTCACTCAAGCGGTGGTGGCACTTCCTCCTTGGTCGAAGCCAATTCCGATGGGTAACGGACAACAATCCGTTGGTCTTTTACAAGACCCAAGCCACTGTCAACAGCACCATAGCTCGATGGATGACTTTCATCAACCAGTTCGACTTCTTTCCCGATCACATTCCGGGGAAGTCCAACCGTTTTGCGGATGCTCTCTCACGATGTCCGGATCATTGTACCGCGGTCTATTCAACCTTCGAGATCGACAACGACCTGCGGGACAACTTCATCCGCGGCTACCAAGCCGACCCCGAGTTTCGCGACAAGTACGCGAATTGCTCCTCTCCCAATCCGGCGCCTTCTCCCTACCGGATCCAAGAGGGGTACTTGCTTGTCCACACATGGGGGAAGGACCTTCTTTGCGTACCGAGTGACCCTGACTTGCGTACACGGCTTCTTGGCGAGTTCCACGATGCTCCCACCACCGGACACTTTGGAGTCAATCGCACGATTGGCCGACTTCGCGAGCGATTTTGGTGGTCCGGCCTTCTCGGCTACGTCACACGCTATTGCGAGTCATGCGAGGTTTGCCGATGCTGCAAATCCCGCAACCATCGTCCACACGGCGAGTTGCGACCATTACCGGTCCCCTTGCGGCGAAGGGAAGCGATTGCCATGAACATTACCGGCCCGTTCCCCAAGCACAAGACCGGCGTGGATGAGATTCTCACGGTGGTCGACCGACTCACCAAATTCGCTATGTTTTTGCTTTGCCGCCATCATGCCAAGGCACCGGAGTTGGCTGAGGTTCTTCACGCCGGTTGGATTCGAACCAAGGGTTACCCCAAGGAAATCGTCTGCGACCGCGACACTCGGTTCATGTCCGATTTTTGGTTGGCGCTCATCAAACGATGGGGCTCATCTCTCAAGCCAAGTTCGGCTCCCCACCCCCAAACCGATGGTCAAACGGAGAGGGCGCATCAGACCGCACAAGTGCTCCTTTGCACTCTCATCCGCCCCGACCAGAAGGAATGGGTTGAGCGGCTGCCGGATGTCGAGTTGGCCTACAACTCGTCCATCCACCCGACTATCGGGATGTCGCCCTTCGAGTTCGAGCACGGCTCGCCGGTCACTTCGCCGTTGGACATAATCATTCCACGAACGGTCGAGAGCGACGACCATCTTCTTTTCTTGCGTCGGATGCAAGAGCTACTTGTCAAGGCACGCGACCAGATGGCCAAGACGCAGCAATGCACGAGCCAACAAGCCAATCGTCAGCGTCTTCCTTGCCCACTCCGCGCCGGCGATCTCGTTTGGGTTTCCGACGCGGAATTCAGCCTTGAACAAGATATCTCTCGCAAGCTCCTCCCAAAATGGATGGGACCCTGGCCGATCGTGGCACCCGCTGGGGATGCACCCAAGGGACCTTTCTTCACTATTCAGGTGCCCGCCCACTTGCCCGTCTACCCGGTCTTTCATTGCTCCAAGTTGGCTCTTTACAGGCCAGCGGAACATGATGATTTTCCCGAGCGATGTTCGCAAGACCCACCCTCTATGGACGCTTTGGTATGATTCTAGGCATCACGACGGGGTAGAGGGCGCGAGGCTCGCGGCGCAACCGGCAACATAGGCTTTGTGAAATGGGGCCTAATGTCGTTCTTGGTGATAGCAGCAAGTATTCAAATCAGAACTCCGATGACCAAGTGTAGGGAGGTTTTCCTTGCACTCCGCAGCCCTCCCGCAGCATTGTTGCGGCCTCCGCACCATGTCCCAGGCCTCCCCTCGCTACTGCCCCAGGATAAGACCCACCCTCCTCCGGGTCCAACTAGCATGCTCATAGTCAAACTTCCTATAGTGGACTCGTGGCCTGCGATCAGCGCGCTCGCAAAGGGCTCCCGCCACCGAGGTCTCTTCACCTCGTGGGGTGGACTCACTCATCGGCCCGTATGTACACTAACCACCATCGATCCCGGTACCGCACCCTGCTCAAGGAGGTTAACCAAAAATGAAATTAAAAATAAAGGTAAAATAATATTTTCAGAGGACAATAAAACCATAAGGTGAGGAAAGAGCTTCGGCCTCGCGGCAGCAAAACCATAGGAGATAGCCTCATCGGACCCTCAACCCCGCGGTTCCTTCTCGCCACTCCTACACTCCCGCACTATCGCTCGCCGACCTCGAACCCTGAATCCCTCTGATGAAAGTCCGACATCGTAACCAATAGTGTTAGGCCCAAAGCTCGGTCTAGTCTTTGACGGACGCCTAAATACGCGGATACTGCACGACGCATAGATATACTGATACGTTTCCAAAACCACATTGTTGTCGATGTCGTCCTCCGTACGTATGCACAGGTCACAGGCAAGCGCACCAATCAAGAGACAAAAATATTTTTAATCCTGGTTTAATAAAAAGAATAAAAACTTGGCCGACAACTACGCAAGCTCCACAATCATCAACAAGAAAGGAGATCACACGCGCCTTAAGTCTACACACCCACACACCCTCTATTCTAGTCAACCATTTAATCAGCGCAAACAATTTGACACAATTGCGACTCGCGCGGCGTACTCAAACTTCAAATCAAACTATTTTTTTGTCACTTGCAAAAAAACAGGGCGGGTACCCTTTTAAGGGTATTCGCACCGACAACTTACCGGACCATATTAAGCGATGTTCTCGTCGCTTCGCAGAATAAAAAAACTATCAGTTCATCCATAATCCAAAAGGCTGACGAGAAAGGAACCAATCCGATTAGCCGACAGACTCTGGTTCGATGCCTTCATCAATCCATGTCAAACACAACTATATGCTGCCAGGATTCTAACCTGGGTCTCCATTGTCCTGACACTAGGACGCCAGGATACCAGCATGCGTACTACAACATAAGTTTCAGCGAACCTCTCAACCGTCCTCTCCCCATTGTCCTAGACAAACGTCGGCTTCTCGTTAAGTGTCCCAATGTCTCCACCCTGCAAGCAAGGCCATAACTTGGGACGCGGGCCCTAACCGAGACCTTTGAAGGCATTCTGCCCTTCCTCCCAACAATTCTCACAATCAAATCATACATATATAAATAATTGTTTTCTTAGACTCTTCGTGCAGTCTAGTACAGGATGACCAGGTCTCCCATCTTGGCCCACCATAGCATGGGTGATCGAGCCAGATCTACGACACACCGCGTTGTTTTTTCCGCGGTAGTGCCCTCGCAGGTTGCGCCATGATAGGCTTTTCTCTTGATAAGCATCCGATCAGGACTCGAAAAGACTCAATTGACTAGACTCTTTTCCCACGCCGTCCCGCAAGAAGTAAAACCCCTCTAGGCGGGCACACCCTTTAAGTCTTTACTCCTTTGGTAAGACGCAGATCCCTTGTCCAGGTTACGCCGATCAGCAGCCGACACTAGGGGTTGCGCCCTAGTGATGCTAAACTTTACCGTTAGCTTGGTCTTTTTTGCAAATGCCCTAAGATTAGCACAAGTGGCTGGACGGTGTGTCGCAACAATACAGGCCTATTGCGTGACTTCGCAAAGGTCTGTCACACATAAAAGGCATTTACCAGTCCTTTGTGGGACAACACAGAGAGCACGGCATCCTCTCCACTTTCACAAAACAGAATCACTGCCAGGTTCACAAGGTCGTGACCTCCCAACTTGATCAGAGCAAGAAAGCCACACATCTTAATGACATCTCCCAAATAAATCACTCTTGCGACCTCCAAAATTTTCACCAATGGCCTAACAAAAACTCGGTCTTTCTTGTCAGACTTTATCTTTCAAATCAGTTTTTCATGTCATTGAATCTTTTAACCACCTTCAAACCAAAGGAGGTCTCACTCATCAGGTCTCTCCCAGTCATTCCCTTCCTTCTCTAGGATGAACTCTCACACTACCTTTCCTTAAAACACCTTCCCTCTCTGAAGATGAGTCTCCAAAGAAGCAAAAAACTATCTTTCCATTCGAAGGTGTCTCAACCATAAAACAACTTAAACTGAGAGACCAACTTATGGGTCTTCATCACAACTCAACAATAAACATTTGGGAGTCTCAGAGACTCATAAATCCCTTATAGGATTCTCACATCCTTTACAAAAACAGTCTGCACTCCCTCTCCTTATACCCGGCCCCATCACCCGCCCGTGGGTAGATTGCATGAGTATACCGAAGAGTAGACAATTCACATCCATTCATATTCACAAAGTACACACCACAGGAGATGTTCCTCATACACCTCTCACACAAAACCATTATACATCAGGATAAATCCACACATGTGAGAGCGATTGTGATCGTCATATACAAAAGATAACCCCAAATAAAATCTCAACTCAAAGTACACTCAAGGATGAGATATCTCATCCAAAATATAAGTAATGTCTCAACTCATGACTCACTCAGACTATGTAGAACTACTCTCAATATGGTACAAGCGAAAAAATGCACTCAAAGTCAGAACCGACACTGACTCTCGGGGTCAGAACAGAAGCAGTCCTACTATACACTTATTACCCTCTGAACCCCGATCCCCATGTCACTAAAGAAAAACTCAATGACAATTATACAATGTAATCCTTCATTTGTACAACTAACAACGCAGGTACCAATGATCCTAAGAAGACAAAGATAAAACAAAGTTAAAGGTAAGGATCTGACCCTAAAATATGCACGCTCAACTCAACCTCATAGTGCCACAATGTCTATTAATACATAGGCGATCCAATCCCTACTCACTCATCTCCTCCTGGTTCTCCCTCTGTGACCTTTCTTGCTGCCTTATCCTTGAGGAACTTTGGACACTGCAGGGCTCAAGGTTCCCCCCTTTAAAAAAGAAAAACAGGTTGGGTCATACGACTTCCTGGACCTCTTCTTCTTCTTCTTAGACCCTGGTGACAAAGGTGCCTCACTGGCCTCTCTGGTCATCTCATGGCTCTGGGATATGTCCATAGGCTTCTCAGGTCTCACCTCCAACCCCTAGGTACTCGGCTCTATCTTCATCCGAACTCCCTCAGGCCTGTACTCAGGAGTATATAACCTCTGTGGTCTACCCCTGAAGACACCCTCCATCGTAACCATCATCTCTCCCTCACGAGGCTCCTCCACTCTCTGCTCAGACATAAACATACTAGCCCCTTCCTGCATAGTGTTGATTGCCTCGAGGAGCACGTCCATCGACCCCTCATTAGATCCAGGTGCAGGCTCACTGGCAGTTGTCCGTGGCCCATCTCTTGCCTGTACTAGCACAGACTCTGCCGCTGGCCCAGAAGAAGTTACAGCCTGGGTGGCAAGCTCTGTAGGTGCCTGAAACCCAAAGGCCTCCCTTTCTGCTTCCCTCTTCGCTTTTGCCTCCTCTAACTCCAGGATAACCTTTCCAATGGATAACTCATGAGATGGGTCCGCCGTAGATGGCTGCCCAAATAAACCCTGCACTGCCTCTCCCTGGATGCCATAGCGTTTACTCTCAGTCCAATCCACCACTCTGGTAGGCGCTTTTCTCTCAATCCTTGCTGCCATATCCTGAAGTTGTTGTCTCATCTCCTGGATGGTAGCGGCCTGGCTGGCTGTCTGCGTCCTGAGCTCGCGGATCTCTGCCTCTACTGCCTCCAAACACACCCCCAGATTCCCAAACTTCACCTTCCTTCCAGCCAGCTCATCTCCCAACATTAAGTACCTCTGGAAAGATGTCTTGGCCGGGAAGCGGAACTTGCGGTCCAGGTACCCGTCCGCTGACCTCGCCGTTTCGAGTCCTGCTCTCTCTGGAACCGCCAACTCCTCGCCATACTGGGCCCAAAACTTATCCCACATCTCCGTGACCCCACAGGGCTTAGGTGGCACGTCAGGTGGCTGATCTGGAAGCGCTCCTGCCGCCTCTAATCTCTGCCTCTCCTCCCAAATCTCCTCCACGCACTTCCCAACCCTGGCCCGTCTCTCCTCTCCTGTCTCTCCTGCTGGCGCTCTCCCTCTTGTGCGATGGACCCCTCTTTCCGGAATCTCAGCTCTCGCCTCTCTCTTCGCCTGGCGTGGCTCCCGTGGTGGCTCCATAGGCACAGGCTCTTCGATATCAGGGTGCTCCTGGGCATGTGCCGCCAGATATCTATTGATCGTAGAAAGGGCCTCTCTCCTCCAGCTTATCCCCTCTCGCTCCATCTCTACCCTCACTCCTGGCGAAAGAGTTGTATCTTGGGGAGGTAGTGGAACCTCTCCCTGTTGGAGCTCCTCCCATGCCTCTCGAGCAACCTCCGGCACTATCTCCGGCCGGGACTCTGGCACCGGTGTCCGAGGCGGAGTATCCTCTTCAACCATATCACCTCCTCTACAGCTCGTCCTCGCTAAGCGCCCTGCTCCGCTGTCCAGCGCATCGGTCTGACACCGCACAAAATGGGGCGGGACCCTCTCGGCCGCGTCACGCAGGAGTTGGTCTATTCCTCGTCGAGAATACATATGGAGTTTCCGCAAGGTGCTCCGGTCGAGTGCGCCAGCCATACCTCTCGCAAGCCCCGACGACCGGATAGGGCCTACGCGAGGCACGACTTACCTCCACCTTACGGGGGTTGTCACCTCCCTTCGGTGGGAGTATCCCCGCCGAGCTACCAATCTACAATACGAAAGCTAATCCAGCTGCAATCGCAGAGGTGGATCAGTCGAGGGCATTTCTCGTTCATTGTAGCATTAGGGGATAGTTTTATGCCTCTATCGGACCCGCACGCGAACCGATGTCTTGGGGGGTTGAAGTCCCAAGCGAGACCTGTCGTCGGTCGACTAGGACGCATCCCACACACCACGCGTACACCACTCTAAGAACATAAAAATTGAAACACGCACACGCACGCACATATACAGAACAACAGAGGACAAACAACGCGACAACACTCCTAGTTCCTTAGTAGCCATCCCATAACTCTCCGATGCATAAATCGGATAGGCGTCACGCACGAGACTTAGTATAAAACCACGCGGATGCAAGGCCTTCCCATATCGACTAGCAATGTATGAATATGCAAGCAGTTGCAATGATGGCATACTATGTAGTACCCATAGTCGTCCGGTCCTCGCTAATCTCGAGGGTCGCATTCGACACTCAAGTGTCGGCTAACACGCGCCTTAAGGGGTTAATCTTTCGACGCTAGACAACCACCAAGTGCGGTTGGGAACCACACCCTCTTCTGCACCCTGCGGAGAGTGGGTGGTACATAGGTTCGTACCTGTGGTGGCAATCGTCTCTTATTGCCCTAAAGACCAGCTCTATCATTCAGGGTCTGGAGAGAAGTCAAGGGGTTTGACTTTGACGGCTGCTACGGACTACAACATCCAACTATAAAAATTAACAAGCAAATTCAATCAAAAACAAATAATCAATCATCTCGATACTCATATATCAAATCAGAACTCGAGATAAAAATAAAGAAAAGGAAATAAAATCCATCAGGTATGCAGATCGTGCGACACATGGTTGCCATTCTCACTGCCTCCAAAGTAAGGCTCGTACACAGGCTCCAGGACACTAACCTGTATAAAACACAAACACAAACGAACGCCACATTGCCATACACCAATGTAGTCAATTTTACTATTCCATGTAACTCACACCATGCCTCACATACTCAAGCCTCAGTCATAGTCTTTATAATGGTCATTAAAAGAAGTTCGGTTAAAACCCTCAAAGAAACATGTCAAATCTTAAAGCTAAGGCATCAAGCTGAGGTACAGGTAGGAACAAAGTTGTGTCGTGAACCGACAAGTCGGCGATCATCCAACCGACTCGTTATCAGTGATAACAGAAGATGATTCTTGTAGGATCAAGATGAGTCTAGCCCAAATCCTGAATCAATCGATCAAAGACCTGTAACACAGAACAGGCCAATACCCAAGCTAAATTCATAAGTGTATGGAGAATGAAGCTCCATAACACATTATCACCCAAGGTCCTCCTACAACTAAGTCGTCTACCCCTAAGCCAGTACCTAATGCGAGGTAGACCTATGGCAGCATTTCCCCTATTCAGGGTGGATTGCCAGAACTGCCACCCATCAAAATGCAGGCTAACTCCCTTTAACTAAGAAAATTTCAGCAGCATTTCCCGCAGGAAAAGTGCCTTCTCAGAATATATACTAAAGAAAACAAAACAAACTCTAATTCTGAAAAGTCAAATTTTGTCTAACTCCCTGAATTAGTAAAAAATTCGGCAGCACTCCCTTTAGAAAAGAAAACTTTCCAGATTTTTACTAAGCCAGATGTGAACCCAGAGCAAAACCCGAGTTCAACTAAGACATAATTTAACTAACTCCTTAGATTTGTAGATATTTCGGCAGCACTCCCTTCAGAAAAAGTGTTAATCCAAGATTTGTACAAAGCTAAGTTCAGAATCTAAGGTGACTTTGACTTCTCAAGGTCCAATTTTGTCCAACTCCCATGAAGTAGCGAAAAATTGGGCAGCACTCCTTTTAGAAAAGGAGGCTTTCCAGATTTTTACTAAGCCAAAAAGTTAGACAAACTGAACCTTGAAAATACAAAATATGACTAACTCCTTGGTTCTGTAGAAATTTTGGCACTGCTTCCCGTAGGGAAAGTGGCTTACCAAGATTTATACAAGACCAAGTACAACAAATGATCCCAAAAAATGCTGAAATCGACCTAAGTAAAAAAAAACTTAGCTCAGAAAATGCAGGAATTGAAACTAACTCGTATGGCTCTCGCACGTGGCGAGCAACTAAAGCAACTACCTATCAACTGAAACTCAGACTAAGTAGTGATCTCTCTCAGCCACATGCAACGCCAAACCACAGAGGTAAGTGCTCTCACCAACCCAAAGTCAACCTTGTCAAACAATAGTTCATGATCTTTCAATGATTTATCCCTTTATACCCAGGTTACATAAGGCATAAAGCTAGACCACCCAATCTTATGGGAACCTGTCTAGCTCAACTATAGAATATACACAAACACAGAGCACAACAACTTTTCTCTTCTTTGGGCACATGACTAGGTTAGCCAGCCTAGTCGCCCTTATACCTTCACTCTCAGTCGGATTCAGCGAGCCTATTTGGTCAAAGTTCCCCTGCAGAAGCGTGTTGGTGAGGAGGTACATTCCTCCCATCAACTCCTCGCGCTTCTCTACCTAGTCCGACCCTTCTTCTATCGCTCTTACCTCCTCTACCAGACTATGCGTGCCTGCCAGTGCCAACTTCATAATCCATTGGACATCCTTGCCACCCCACGGGTCTTCTTCCTCAAAAGGCTTGAGTACTAGCCCTGCCTTTTGCTCATATCCCCTTGGTGCAAGCCAAATGGGATAGTCGACGCAATTCGACATTCGCAAGGACCATTTATCAATATGAAGGCGGACATCTTCCTCCTGATCCAAGAAGCCATCGACTGGAGGTGTGTTCTCTACTGCTCCTTCCTCTGGCCTATCCCAGTTGATGCGACTTAGTCCATCTGCCCTATTCTTGTTCCCTGGAATCCGTTCCAATTCGAAATTAAACATCCAGATGTATGTTAACCATCCGGCGACAGTCGGATCCAATGGAACGTAATTCCTCAACGAGTAAGCGAGTGTGGTTGGGTCTACTCTCAATATGAATCTTCTGCCAAAGATATAATTTCATAAAATCCTTAGGTAGTGAAGGACAGCGAGAGTTTCCCTCTTAAACTGAGAGTAATTTCTCTCAGTCGTATTAAAAGTTTGACTCTCAAACCTTAGCGTCCTTTCCTTGCCTTCGACATCTGCCTGAATCAAGATTCCCCCTAAGGCAGTCGGTCCAGCGTCCGTCTCAATGATGAATGACCTTACCTCAGTGGCCTCATAGACTGGCGCTCCCAATTCTAAACCCCCTTCCCAAAATTCCTCCTTCATACCTGTCACAGCCTTCTCCTTGTCCTCACCCCAGACCTATTCCTGATCCTGATGTACCAGCTTTCTTAGGTGCTTAGTTTTGGCAGCAAAGTTTCAGACGAAGGTTCTCTAGAACCCACATGTGTCGACGAAGCTTCTAACATCTGTTATCGAATGAACGGTATTGGTCATTCGATAATCTTGTCCGTCTTTTTTACGTCTGGCCGACGGCCACTCTCACTACAGACGAACCCCAAGATGGTAGCCTCCCTCATACAATGTCTGGATTTGGCTTCACTTGCCGTAAGGTTATGTTCTTCAAGCAAGCTTAGGACTTTATCAAGGTCCTGAATATGCTCCCAAACAAAACGCCTTACTTCCGACAGGACTTCATCATCTTTCTTCTCCCTTGGTCCCTTTTTTACCGCCAAATCATCGATATATGGCTGAGTGATATGCGGGCTGACTGTCTGCCTGGCTCAAATCATATGCTGTTGAACCATCGCCACCGCATTAGTCCATCCTTACGGAGCCACATTCATATAAATTATCCCCCTAGGCGTATGCATCGCCGTCACCGGTCTATCCGGCGGATAGACCGGGAATTTGTCGTACCTAGAGTAGAGGTCTATAAGTGAAATTATAGGCCTCCCTGCGCACGACTCTGACAGTGCATTTGCATTTGGCAAGCCCTCCGCATCTCGTGCAGTCACTGCGTTCAAACGTTGCGAGTCCTGTACCCATCACAACATCCCATTAGGTTTAACAAAGCAAAACATAGGGATGCGTACGGCCCACTTGAGTAATCGGCGACATGCGTACGTATCTTGCCGTCGAGATAATCCACCACCTTCTTCTCCTCGTCAGGATTAGGATATCGTGCCCCTCTCAAATTCCATGGCTCATGCGGCACGGTATGAATCCGAATCATATGAATTTTATCCACGTCCAACCTCCCCCGTTGATCGTCATTGAATGCATAGGCGCGATGCCTCTTCTTCATCAGCTCTATCATCAACACCTTTCCTGGGGTGACAGGAATTCAGGCTTCCCCACTATCAACTTTTCCTCATTCACTTCATTGATACGGCACGGCCCCGTTGCCGCTTGTTCCCTCATTTGCCGTATCAATCCTCGTTCCCGCTCGTAATAAACCTCCTCATCTTCTGTGACGAGAACGGGAACTGGGCGGCACTTCTTATCTATAGTCTTGTACCGCCTTTGGGAACCCTGCTTGAGTCGTCCCCTAAAAAAGGCCGGCTTGCCGTTTGTGCCTGCATCATGTGTGGGACATTCCAGAACTTGCTCCCTTAGTGTCTGAATGGCGTTTGGATCCGCCATCTCGTGGGTGGCCACTATGTCCATGGCCTTATTCACATCAGATAAACTGAGTGAAAATACTTCCTCCCTTGCCTCCTCCTCCGGTTCCTCAAGGAGCTTCCGACGCTCATTCTCAGACTCCTCGATCGTGAATGAGCTAGGGTTGGGTCGGTTCCTTATACTCCGTGGTCCCGTGTTCCAGCAGGTAACTACCTCATAGTTCCCACACACCGGGTCGCACATGATTAGGATCAGAGTTTCGTCGTGTTTGTTAAACATCAACGTCTCTGTCCTGCGCAGGAACGACCTCCCTAAAAGGATGACATGGTCTACATCACGCATGACGAAGAAACAAACCCTTGCCTTCACCCTTCCAATTTCGATAAGCACATTCGATGTCGTTCCACAGAACACCGCCTTGCAGTTGGCTCCATGCAGGATGCCGCAATCCGAGCGATCTATCTCTAGGCCAAATCTAAGTGCATCAGCCTCCTTGATGACGTTCATTTACGCCCCTGTATCCACCATCGCTGTGCACTTCGACCCTTTTACTACCAAATCCACCATCCCACAGGCCACACACTTCCAGTTCATCTTTGTCCCAGTTTCCGCCCATTCGGCAGAATCACGCTTAGATGGACACTTGGCACCAGACGCCGCAAAAGCCTTCCCTTTAGTCCATCACGGAGCTTAGGAGCAGACGCCAGGATCTCCTTCAGGGTCATAAGGTCATTATGACCCTTAAGCAACCTGTCAATCACTTTCTCCACGTCGAACCTGTCCTCCAACCGGACCGCATACTTCTTTTTCTTTGGCGCCGCATCGCGCAGAACCGGCTCAACTTCCTCTTGGGCTCCCCTCTTCTTGGCCCTCTGCTCCGCCCTTCGATCCTCCTCTTGGTGCAGCCTATCGTCTTGCTCATCTTCATCGTCGTCCTCCTCTGCCTCCACAACCTCTTTCCTTCGTTCCGGCTCTGGCTCTCTTCGAGGGGGTTCTTGGTTTGCACTTCCCTTGCTCTGGCCCCTGGTTCGCGGTGCTTGCGCCATTCTCCCTTGCGCTGTAGGGGGCCTAAAGGTCATTCCGGACCGCGGGCCCCCACATTGGCTACTCCGGGGTATCCTTGTCGTTCCGGTACTGACTCTGGGCCAGATTCATAGAGGAAGATTTTGGGGGTGCTGGCTCTCCATTCCTTCACCTTTTCACATATATCTACCAGCTTTTGCTAGTATCTCCCCACTTTCTCCCACAAGTCTTCCATCTTTCCCAGAAGGGCTGACGCTGGCTCCACTTCCTCATTCACGTTCTCTCCATCCGACTCGATGACTATAGGCTCTTCTTTTATAGTCCCTGTCTGTAGCCTTTGAGTCACTTCTTCATCACACTCCACCTCCTCCACCCTTATTGGTGGGTCCTCCTTTTCTTGCCACAACCTGAACGTGGCTGGTGCTGCCTGCCACGCGGCTACCCGTCTAAGGGCCTCTGCCCTCACTCCACCTGGAATCTTTGGGTCAATGTACTCCCCATACTGATCATATATATCACCGTCCATGTTGGAATAGATCGGTCCGGACTTCTCACATCGAGTCTTGTATTGCAGAATCGTATTGTATGGCCTTGCTTGTCGCAATGCCGGCAAATAGCGGTCCTCCAATCAAAATAAGGTCTCCCATACCCTTGACACCCTTGATTCCCTTGACCTTGGTTATCCCATTGTCCTCCTCGGCCACCACCATTCCTACCACGTTCCCTTCCACCGCCTCTTCCTCCATTCCCCTGGTTGCCCTGGCCCTGATTGCCTCCTAGAGCCACGCTACCTTGTGAACTTGGCGCGGGCGATGGGGGTGGCACCATGGGTTGGGCCTGCACCGCAGGATAACTTGGTGGCGGCATACTTGCTTGGGGCCCTGCATAAGGTACCATTTGTCTAGACGGAGCTGGACCGCCCCATGGCACGAAGGTGTTAAACACAGGCCATGGCCATTGCCCATATGGTGGTACCCCTGCTTGCGAGGGTCCCGTGCTACTCGACGGAGCCGCCGTACTCGGCGAGGTCACTGCCAATGCTTGGGGCGCCTGACCCTTTTCGGAGCCTTGCCCTCCTTGCGTCAAATTGCACTGTTTGCACTGCGCCTTCAGAAGGTGTTGGGGCACTGGCTCCTCTTCTTCCCATTCTTCCTGGATGGCCTCCTCTACCACTGGCTCCTTCCCCTTTCCTTGGATCGTAGTTACCACTTTCTTTTGTACCACGACATCTCTCCCATAACCCAATTCCGTGAGTACGTCCGTAACGATCCTTTTTACTCCCGGGGTCCCTGAGGAGGTCCAAACTTCCTTCTTCTACACCCTTGTCAATTGTGGCCCTGGTGAGCTTCGCATTACCTCCTCCATGACTCGTTAGCTCCGAGCTTCCAAGGCGTTGAACAATCCCAAAAAGATAGCACATTGTGCTTCCTCTGAGATTCTGGGGACCTTCCTTGCCTTCTTTTTGAATTCTTGCACAAGGGCCCCGACAGTAGTGAAATCATCTTTGTTCATTGCCTCCAAGTCTACCCTGGTTAATAAGCCATCACCCAACCGGTACTTCCTCTGCATGTCATCCTTAAACCTCGCCCAACTAACATTGGCTGCATTTATGACCTTCTCTACTTCCTGGTGGTGCCCATGGAGCGCGTACTTCGGAATGCGTTGAAACTTCACTGCATCTGACAACCCCACCAGTGCCTGTTCCACCTCTTCTAACCATTCCGGGACTCACTCCCCGTTGAAATGGAAGGTGTTGACTTTGGGGACGTTGCTTTGCGCCCTCTTTCGCCTATCCATAGCCTCGATCAGATCATCGATCGTCAAGGCCTTCCCGACACCATCTGTTATGCCTCCCGATATTTTGGCCGAATTTCTCGCTCAGTTTCCTTGTTATAAGAAGAGATAACAACTCCATTCAATCAACCTGACTTATCACAACTCCTGTCAAGTTTCCTATATAGTCATCTCACGATCCAGACCTAATAGACACTATCACGTTCTTTCTTTTGAACCCACCTTTAGTAGAGTCTGCTTCCTCTATACGACTTCCCTCACCGTTTCTTAAGTCAGGCAATTAATCAGATCAAACATAAGGACTATTATATTAATAGCACCGGCTTAACATAGATAATCTTTTCATCCCTTAGACAAGGCATCACGTACTTCGCCTTATGAGTTTATTAAAACTTCCCTTACATGCCTAGTTTCTTCGCAATCCCATACCCGGATGTCGTTCCACCAGGGACAACGGTAGGCAACCGTTATCCCCGGCAACAACCCCACCTGTCGAGCGCATCGGTCCCACACCACACAAGACGGGACCCTCCCGGCCACGTCACGCAGGAGTTGGTTTGATCCTCATTGCGAATACACATGGAGCTTCCGCAAGCCGTTCCGCCTGAGTGCGCCAGCCATACCTCTTGCGAGCCCCTACGACATGATAGGGCAAACACGAGGCACAACTTACCTCCACCTTACGGGAGTTGTCACCTCCCTTCAGTAGGCGTATCCCGACCGAGCTACTAATCCACAGTACGAAAGTTAAGCAGTTGCAATCGCAGAGGTGGACCAGTCGAGGGCGTTTCTCGTTCGTTGTAGCATAGGGGGTACGCGTGGTCTCACGCCTCTATCGGACCCGCACACGAACCGACGCATTGGGGGGCAGAAGTCCCAAGTGCGACTCGTCGTCGGTCGACTAGGACACATCCCACTTACCACGCGTTACACCACAACACTCCCACATACAAAATGACACAAACAAACAACACAACAACACTCCTAGTCCCTTTTTGTAACCATCCCATAACCTTCCGACGCGGGAATCAGATAGGCGACGCGCGCGAGACTTAGTATAAAAAAATCGCGCGGACACAGGGCCTTCCCATATCGACTAGCAATGCATGAATACGCAAGCAGTCACAATGATGGCGTACTATGTACTGCCCATAATCAAGCGGTCCCTCGTGGATCTGAGTACCGCTTATGACACTCAAGTGTCAAACTCGAGGTATCGTGAAGGTCAAACCCTTCACGATATTGCACAGCTGAAGGAACAATCGTTCGGCCCCTGCGGCACCTTCGACCCTTAGGCTGAGTGTCCCGGTGGGTAGGGCAAATAGGCTCTGCGCGGGGGGTGACCCCTTCCATGCGGAGTCTAGGACCTGGGATGTTTTGGACAAGGACCTCGAATCTAGGCCCAGGACCAACGTCCGACTAATAATTTTTTAAGAAGCAAACATCAATAAAAGGAGGGAATTTCCCTTCCTCTCTCAATTTCGACCCAATAAAACCCTTAAGCGTCGGCTCCTTAGGCCACGTGGACACTCAAACATAGGTATATATATATATATACATATACATATATATATAGGGGAATAAATATGTGACGATCACTTCTCACAATCACAGTGGAACTCCTCTCAGCCATATATGTGTATGTGATCGCAAATAGTTAAATCCAAAACCTGAACCACAAAACATCCCTGCAATCACATCAAAGAGTCAAAAAAACTCCACACACTACACAGGGTCAACTTCAACCACTCTCTATACTCATACCCCTTGCTTTAGCCATGCAAGCTCCAACCTTTGTCCAACCTTCCAAAAATAAATACTCAGCACCTTCGTTAAATGACCAGTCAATAGAAGTCCGGGTGAAAACCTTAACAAAACAATAGAAACCACCAGGGCTAAAGTCTTTTAGGTTGGGTATTAAGAATGAATTGGCGCTGAGTCGTAGACCGACGAATCGGCAACCGACCTGTTATCAGTGATAACAGAAGATGATCCTTGTAGGATCAAGCTGAAACTAGTCAAAATCTTGAATCAAAACGATCAAAAGGACCTGTACCATAAGACAGATCAATGCCCAAGCTAAATCATCAGTGTATGGGGAGTAAACCTCCATAGCACATGTCACTCAATACTGTCTGCTAAGTAAAACTAACTTTACCCTTAAGCCAATGCCCTAAGAAAAGACAGATCTTTGACATAATCTCCCTCTTAAAGAGTGGATTGCCAATATCGCCACTAGTCAAAAATAGAATCCAACTCCTTTAAACTAAAAAAATTCCGACAACGCTTCCCGTAGGAAAAGTACCTTTGCAGAATTTATATTAGCTCAAATATGAAAACTAAAACAATATCTAACTCTAAAAAGTCAAGTTTTGTCTAACTCTCCGAATTAGTAAAATTTTGGGCATCATCTTCTTTAAAAAAGTAGACTTCCCAGATTTATACTGCGCCAGATAAGAACTCAAAGTAAAGCTTGTGTTCAGCCAAGACAAAATTTTAACTAACTTCTTAGTTTTGTAGAAATTTCAACACCGCATCCCATAGAAAAAGTAGCTTTCCAGAATTTATACAAAACTAAGATTAAGTCTATAAATAACTTTGACTTCCCAAAGTTCAATTCTGTCTAAATCTCTGATTTAGCAAAAAATTGGGCAGCACTCCTTTTACAAAAGGAGACTTTTCAAATTTGTACTAAGCCATACATAAAATTTAGACAAGCTGAACTTTGAAAAGTCAAAATATGACTGACTCCTTGGTTTTGTAGAAATTTCGGCAGCGCTTCCCCTAAAGAAAGTAACTTACCAAGATTTATACAAAGCCAAGTATAAGAAATGATCCCAGAAAATGCGGTAATTGACCTCGGTAAAATAAACTTAGCTCAGAAAATGCAGGAATTGAAACCAACTCGTATGGCTCTAGCACATGGCGAGCTTCTAAATCAACTACCTATCAAACGGAAACTCAGATTAAGTAGTAGTCTCACTCAGCCATACATAAAATTTAGACAAGCTGAACTTTGAAAAGTCAAAATATGACTAACTCCTTGGTTTTGTAGAAATTTCGGCAGCGCTTCCCGTAGAGAAAGTAGCTTACCAAAATTTATACAAAGCCAAGTATAAGAAATGATCCCAGAAAATGCGGGAATTGATCTAGGTAAAATAAACTTAGCTCGGAAACTGCATGAATTGAAACTAACTCCTATGGCTCTAGCACATGGCCAGCTTCTAAATCAACTACCTATCAAACTGAAACTCAAATTAAGTAGTAGTCTCACTCAGCTACATGTGGGAATTGATCTAGGTAAAATAAACTTAGCTCGGAAACTGCATGAATTGAAACTAACTCCTATGGCTCTAGCACATGGCCAGCTTCTAAATCAACTACCTATCAAACTGAAACTCAAATTAAGTAGTAGTCTCACTCAGCTACATGTGGGAATTGATCTAGGTAAAATAAACTTAGCTCGGAAACTGCATGAATTGAAACTAACTCCTATGGCTCTAGCACATGGCCAGCTTCTAAATCAACTACCTATCAAACTGAAACTCAAATTAAGTAGTAGTCTCACTCAGCTACATGCAAGGCCAAACCACAAAGGTAAGTACTTTTACCAGCCCAAAGATAATCTTGTCAAGCAATAGTTCGTAGCCTTTCGATGATTTATCCCTTTATACCCAGCTTATATAAGGCATAAAGCTAGACCACCCAAACTTATGGAACATGTCTAGCTCAACCATTTAAATATACACAAACATAGGGCACTACCACTTCTCTCTTCCTTGGGCGCATGACTAGGTTAACCAGCCTAGTCGCCCTGAACTGTTCAAGCATCCACATTATATATAATTATCTGCACTTAATCTTTTAAGGTAGCATATGACTGAACCGATCATCTTAGCGCGAGGTTCAGCCTGCCCCTTCTTACCGCAAGTTTACTCTTAGTTGATACTCTCTTCAGTTTGTGACAAGCTATAGTCAAACCACCCAAACTTATGGGACAATGTTTGACTAGCCTGTTCATAGATAACGTAGTAGTAAAATATAGCCAAGTTATAACCCTTAGGTTCCAGCATGTGCATGGCATTGGACCAAGACCACCCAAACTTATGGAACATGTCTGGTTCTCCAAGCAACTCAAAAATAAACATAGCACTGAGACTCTCCAAACTTATGGAGACTTGCCCAACCTTTGATTGACCCAGTCAAACACAAGCAATACTGCCTTCCTCCCATCCTTCCCCCAGATGCAATCCCACAATCTGCTTTATCATTTTTCGAATCAAATAAATCGGAAAAAAGCGCAGTCAGACAATAAAATTGAAATCGACATGATACATGCATTCCTTTACTTAAGTCTGAATCATGTCCTGAAAGTCAAACTGAAAGTCAAAGTAGTGATGCATACAATACACTCAGTCAAACATAGCAAGAAGTACAAATATGGGTTATAAATGGGTTTATAAAAGAAAAGCAAATGATTACCTCTCAGTTCCCTGCCTCCTGAACTCCTCCTGAGTTCCGGCAGAGCTCCCGCAATCGGTGGGCTGACTCCCCACAAAGTCTTGCTGCGGTCCTACGGGTTGCAATCCCGCCTGCCGCCTTCCTCTCATAACAGGACTAGACTTAGAATAAGAAGGGCAGAAGGAGGGGTTTTAGTCTCTCGAGATACAGGAGAGGGCCTTGATGCCATTAATCGCCCGAGGGCCCCGCAATGATGGCCAAAAAGCACAACAACTTGGTCAATCCAACGCCAAACCGCTAACTGTTGACCCTCTGGCGGTCCTCCGGTCCGAAATGACGACTACCTATTCACAGCCCAATCATTTCCCTTATGCGTTACGCGAAGCGTGAGGAGGCCGTAGCCAGTCTTAGCTTGAATACTGCGTGCGTGCCACACGTGTGCAGCAACAGTGCATTGTACCAATACGCATTACCAACCACAAGTATCATAGTGCCACACACCAACACACATTACCAACCACAAGTATCATAGTGCCACACACCAACACACATTACCAACCACAAGTATCATAGTGCCACACTTGGCAAAACTCCACATGATAACCACATCAAAGGCTGTAGTGCACAGCGCAACAAAGCTCAGTTCATATAGTTGAGACACAACGGAAGCATAGCGAGTATACAACGGCCGTGTTGGTCAACAACAAACAACTACGAAGTTCATCAGCAGCAACATTCAACTCAATTAGTTGCAGGTGACGACACAGTTACCTGCTTTCACTCCGATTAGCAGTCACAAACAACACTTGCACAGTCAGACTGTTACTCGAAGTCCACAAGGTGAGTCCCAGAAGCACGGACTGGACTTCGAGGGCATATGCCTGACCGCGACCGTTCACCCACACGCTCAGATTCTGAAGACAAAGCTTCATTAAAGTATAGTTTGGCGCAAGAGATCATGGTATAGGGCTGTGCACACGACCTCGTCCAAGCAGGCGTTCCCTCTCTTGCGTGTTCCACCTACCAGTTTTCTTGTTGCTCCTCACCTGGCTGCGACTGCTCTTGCCCGTCCCTCTCTCTCGAAGCACCTGACTCACGCTACAACCTGGTACACGTCCCCCCCCTTGTAGGATCTGCAAACACAGTCTCGAGTACTCCCTAAGTGTAGATGCAGGCGCGACGAGTCGCCATGAAACGAAAGAGATTGAACTACGCCCCTTCTACCGGTAAAACGGGCAGACTCGGAATGAAATTTTCCGCCAGTATATCAACAGATACGCTCGACATCAACTTTCCCGCCGCTGTTCCCGTACTCGAGAAGAATGACTTCTCGACTCGGATCCGGGAATACATATAGCAAGTAAGTATTCCCCTTCTCATGTACCTCTTTTTGGGATCGCAAACCCCTTCTCATGTACCTGTTTTCGAGATCGCAAACCGACCCGAGCACACACTGAGTTCGCTCACAAGGGCGATGGCTACGGTCCCACATGTAGGCAAACACGGTCGTCTGCACCTTTCCTTTCGAAACAAGTTTCTCACACCGATTTCGCCGAACGCTGCCTCTGTCTTGCTGCACTCAACCGCAATGTATCGTCCCTCGAGGGTTGCTCCTTTCAAACCAACGCTAGATCCACCAAGGCTGGAAGCGACAACGCAGTATGCCATGGGCAGCAATCAAGGCAGCAACAACAACGATCGCCCCGTCAAACCAGAATCGATCATTTCAGAGAAGAAAGCCTAGGTGCGTATCTTTCCCGCTCATCCCCGCTTATGCACCGCGCAGCCTCTAAACGCCATGCCACCTACACTAAGCACTTACCCCCAATTCAGACTCCATCAATCGTTTAGCAAGGTTCCAGAACCCCAGAATCGAGTGTTGGTTCGCCCGATTTCGTTGAGAATTGTGCGAACTACTCTTTTTTCCTCTCCTCCATACCCACTTGTTCGCTCATCTCCGCGCGGCTTTTTTCCTTACTAACTCTAAATAGACTTCACTAACTAAAACTCTGACCTCACCAACCACTTTGCCCAGGTCGAAAATCCCAGTTCTACCCTTTCGTTCGATCGATTTGACTAAGGAACGACCGAGTTATCTACTTCCAACCGAGTTCCGCAACCTCTTCGCCATTTTCAACATCAAATGTACCCTGGCGCGAAGCGCGTCCAGGTTCTTTCTCTCCTCCTGCTCCCTTGCTGCTTACCACCCCGTCCTTTCGTAGTCTATCTCCTTCCTTCTCCGCCTGGTTCTGGTAGGAGCCCGATTGATTGTTAGCTTGAATACCTCGACGACTGCAGGAATAACAAGTCACTTACCCGAGTCCAGCAGGCCCATTAGTGGCTGGTTGCTTCGCGCACGGCCCCTGCATGACAACGGTATGATTCTAGGCATCACGAAGGGGTAGAGGGCGCGAGGCTCGCGGCGCAACCGGCAACATAGGCTTTGTGAAATGGGGCCTAGTGTCGTTATTGGTGATAGCAGCAAGTATTCAAATGAGAACTCTGATGACCAAGTGTGGGGAGGTTTTCCTTGCACTCCGCAGCCCTCTTGCAGCATTGCTGCG